AGCGGATGCAGTATACCACATTGGCAGATGTGCAGGTGAACATCTGCTTGATGTGGAAAGTCTTCTTGGGGCCTGGGATGGGGGTGAGGGAGGAGGTATGGGGGCAGGTGTAGCACTTCCTGCGGTTGCAGGGAAAAGTGCCGGGTGTGGTGGAGCTGGAGGGGAGTGTGGAGTGGACAAGGGAGTCACGGAGAGAGTTGTCCCTCCGGAAAGCAGATAACGGTGGGGAGGGAAAGATGTCTTTGGTGGTGGGGTCGGATTGCAGATGGCGGAAGTGTCGGAGGATGATGCGTTGGATCCGGAGGTTGGTGGGGTGGTACGTGAGGACGAGGGGGATTCTTTTTTGGTTCTTATTGCGTGGACGGGGTGTGAGGGATGAGGTGCGGGAGATGTGGGAGACACGGTTGAGGGCGTTCTCGACCACCGAGGAGGGGAAGTTACGGTCCTTGAAAAACGAGGACAACTGAGATGTACGGGAGTGGAATGCCTCATCCTGGGAGCAGATGCGGCGGAGGCGAAGGAATTGGGAATAGGGGATAGCATTTTTGCAGGAAGGTGGGTGGGAGGAGGAGTATTCTAGGTAGCTGTGGGAGTCGGCGGGCTTCAAATGAATATCGGTTTCTAGGTGGTTGCCCGATATGGAGACAGAGAGGTCCAGGAAGGGGAGAGAGGTGTTAGCGATGGTCCAGGTAAACTTAAGGTTGGGGTGGAAGGTGTTAGTGAAGTGTATGAACTGTTCGAGCTCCTCGTGGGAGCACGAGGCAGCGCCGATACAATCATCAATGTAACGGAGGAAGAGGTGGGGTTTAGGGCCGGTGTAGGTACAGAAGAGGGATTGTTCCACTCCGTGCTTGTGGCAAAGAAAGTGAATGCTCAGGGTGGTAGATAGGGGAGATCAATCAAGAATGCTACTTTTTTTTTGCTAGACAGTGTTGAATTTCTTCAGTATTATACAACCTCAACAATCCAAATAAGTACAGGGCATTCCATAACACCCCTTACTTGTGTCTTGTGAATTAACTAACCACAGCATTCCAAATCATTGACCTGCTTTTGCAGCTATATTACTTACATGGCTAGTCCAGTTCTTTTTCTAATCAATGGAACCACCAAGGATTACCATTAATGTTGATAGTATGGATTCAGTGTAATATGTAATTTATTGTCATAGAGTCTGTTTCCGTGCTGAATGATTCTTCGGTCCAACCAGTCCATGCCGATCATAATCCCAAACTAAACTTGTCCCACCTGCCTGTGTTTGGCCCATATCTCCCCAAACATTTCTTATTCATGTGCCTATCTAAATGTCTTTTAAATGTTATAACTGTACCCACATCCACCACTTCATCTGGAAGTTCATTCCATACATGAACCACTGTGTGTTAAAAATCTGCCCCTCATGTCTGTTTTTAAAATCTTTCTCTTCTCACCTTATAAATATGACCTCTAGTCTTAATCTTCCACTCTTGGGAAAAGACATCTGCCATTCACCTTATCCATGCCCTTCATGATTTTATAAACCCCTACAAAATATACCCTCAACCTCCTACACTCCAGTGAAAAAATGTCCCAGCCTATTCAGCCTCTCCTTATAACTCAATCCCTCCGTTCCTGGCAATATCCTGGTAAATCCCTTCTGAACCCTCTCCAGCTTAATCATATCCTTCCTGTAACAGGGTAGCAAGAATTGGACATAGTACTCCAGAAGATGCCCCACTAACATGTTGTACAGCCTCAACATAACACCCAAACTCCTATACTCAAACAGAGATGGTCAATGTCTGATACTTGTGTGGCACTTATGTGACTTCCCACGTCAGCCCAAGCCTGACGTTATCCAGGTTTTGATGCAGATGGATATGGGTTACTGTAGTATATAACAAGAGGCAAATGAGGTTGAATACTATGCAATCAGCGAACATCTCCAATTCTGACCTTGGATGAGGGAAGGTAATTGATGAAGAAACTGAAGATGGCTGGTCACAGGACACTAACCTGAGGAACTCCCACAGTCATGTCCTGTGAAAGAGTATTAACCATCTTCCTTTGTGCTAGCTATAACTCTCTCTCCTTTTTTTGAAACCAGGACTCATATTTGACATCCAATTCTTGAATACAATTTTTGCAGAATTTTGAGAAATTACAGCAAATGCCTTTGCTGCACATTCTCTTAACATCAGTTATAAATCAAGAGGACTTTGTCATTTATCCACATGAAAAGAAAAAGGCTACATATATGTAGCCTTTTTATGACCTCAAGGCACCCTAACATTTTACACTCAATTAAGTACTTTTGAGGTGTAATTAGCCTTACAATGTCATGTTAAATGGATAATTTATTTAACAACATTTCTTAAATGATAGCCAACGTTATTATGCTAAACCCAACTCCTGTGGGTTGACTTTTCCAAAGTTTTTCTATCCTCCTAATCACTGAAGCCCAAAATTAAGTAAACATTCTGTATCTTTTGCCATACGCACACGTTCTCTGCAAGTCTGTCACCGTATCTTTTACTGGTTCTACTTCGACGACTAGTGTGCCTATAGAAACTCTGGTCTTGCCTTCTATGAGTTGCTGATTTTCTTGCGTCTCTCTTTCTCGGATGGAATCGCCCTTTTTTGTAATATGCCCCTGCTCTGCGAAGAAGTTATTGAACCAGGCGGCTTCAGTGAGTAAGCCATGTTTTCTACTACTTCCATGAGACAAATTGTAAATAGAAAGGAGACGTTATTTGCATTATTCTCTTCGTGTGGAGGCCAAAATCTTCAAAAGGGACAGTAATTTCATGACAGCTAAACGTGATGAATGTAGATTAAGTTAGATGCAATACTCACCCTGAAGAAGGCAGAGTTGCAGTCCCAGATTCTGATACTTGCATTTCCATCGTTCGAAGTTTTTACAACAGTTCTCTTCCAACCTTCTCGTCAGCAGACTTCTTTTTGCCTTTCCTCGTTCGACTGTAAAGTAACAGCAAGAATCGAAGCAATGTTGAAGACAAAGCGATGTGAAATGATTTCGGGTATTAGCGGCGTAGGACACTGCAGAAAGCTGGATTTGATCAACGCCAATGTGCGTGGATTTCTCCTTTCCCCTCCTCCTCCACAAACCTTAATGTACAGAAGGATTTGGTTCGCGCTTCCGCGAACCTCTCTATCTCTCTCCCTTTCTCTGTGCGGGCTATGATCCAGCCCAGCTTCTGCCCCAGTCTCCAGCGTAAATGGCTCAACTTAAGCGCGGCGCCGATCGCTCCCGCTCCACTTTCGCAAACACAAACATTTTCAAGCTATGACATGTGTGAGAACTTGCCTCTCCACATCAAACTTTCCACGCTGTGTGTGCGCTCGATCCCGGACACGGCGGTTTCAACATACCCCTCCCCCACCGTCCTGCTTCCTCAGCACTAGGTTTCACATAGATTGGACACAATTGCACACCAGCACCCAACTCTTTAGCAAAGTGGTATTTGCATACAACTACACACAAGTGGTTTCGTTTCCCTGGTTTAAGTTTCTGTTGGCTTGAGCTGCGCATCTCAATTCTTGCCACTAGGATGCGAGAGCTTTCGTGCCAGGATTGAAGGTTCCACCTGCAATTAAAGCAGAACCTTGCCAGATTTTCAGTATACTGATCTTAAAAACAGTATGTCCCAGGCAGCGATCAGTGGAGCCTTATTTATTTTCCCACTCTGTTCAGCCAACTTGCCAAACATGTCGAAATGACTGTTTTGCATTTTGATTTACACTTGATCGAAAGTCCCAACATTTTCACTTGGAATTCAAACGCAATTTTTCTTAGTGCAACTGGGCTTTTGCGACCAACACCTTTTAACCTTTTCTCCAGACCAACCGAGGTTTTTCAGCAGCAGTGTGGGAAAAGAAGAAACACGTTGGTAGTGTACCTACCCCTAGACCGGGAGGCCTAGGTTCGAGCCCCACCTGTTCCAGAGGTGCGTAATAACATCTCTGAACAGGATGATTAGAAAAAATGGGTTAACAGCAGAGTTCGTGGGGGTTCATGCAGTGCGGTGGTCGTGTCCCTGCCTTTGAGCTGGGAGGCTCAGTTTCAAGGCCTAGAAGTGTGTTATAACGTTTCTGAACAGGTTGATTAGGGAAAAAAAAGGAGAAATGGACAATTTCACTGATACCCTAGTGGCACCCTTAAAATTTGAGAACTTTTAAAAGAAATTGGACTTTGGTCCCGTTTTATATTGTTAACGTTTGACGTTAAAAGAAGTGTAAGAAATCTAAACAATTCCTTACAGTGCTGCAATTTTTGTTTCCTGGCCATTGCTTAACTTTGAGCGAAAATGAACACTGGCAACACACGGTGGTTGCTTCATAGCAAGGTAGACATCTAGTGAAGTATCAACACTGCATCTGCCGTGACTCTACTCACGGAAATTTGGGAAGACCCGACTTCTCTTCACGTCCAGCTGCGCTTTATCGGAGTTGGGGGAGAAAGGTGTCCAGTGAGTTTAAACACCTGCATTTCTCTGCATTTTCCTTTATCTAGCCACTCCTTCTTTTGAAGGAATGTGCTTCTCTTGTGAATGCGATCGCTTGATACAGTGCGAGTTCTTTCAGCTAGTCAGTTTCTGCAGTTCGACCAGTGAAAACTGATTAGTTAGGCTCAGATTTCCTAAGAATTCACCGGGATTTTGAACAGCAGGAAGTTGTTCACGGAGCAGTGACACATAACCCCGCTTGGATTTCGTGTTAACGAAAAAAAAAGTTTATTTTCAATTGATTACTGGATTAGTTGAAGTCACAATATTTCCAACGAAACCTTACTGCGAAATTCCTATTTGATATAATTTTGAAGTAGTTTTTTTTTGCTCTGTTGTCCATCACATTACTAAAGACTACTCCGCCCAAAACTAATCCCTTGATACAACGGCCTCCCGATGCCGCAGTAATTCTATCCATTTGGGGACGCGTACTTTTCTGATCTTAATCTCTACCTCGTGGCAGAAGCGTGTTACTGCAGCTATGGCTGTGTCTGTCACCTGCAGGTAGAGGTAATGCCAAGGTGAGGGCAAAACCATGAGAGATTCAGTGACATGTTGATGTATTGGGGAGTCGGTGCTGTAGCAGTAATATCGCTAGACTAGCAATCCAGAGGCCCAAGGTAATAAAATAGATAAAGTTGTGGAGTTTAAATGTAATTGCTAGACCTGGAATGTAAATCAAGTCTCAGTCATGCTGACCTTGAAACTGTGATGGGTTGTTATAAAAGCCCATTCGGTTCACTAATGATCTTTAGTGAAGGAAATCAGCCAATTTTACCCAGTCTGGGCGCATAAGACTCCAGACACACAGTAATGTGGTAGAATGTAGTTAGCACTGAGGGTAGTTAGCCCTCTGAAACAATAAGCCACTTAGTTTAAATGGCACTTAGGAATTGGCCACAAATGTTGTCCTGGCTAGTGGCATCTACACAGAATAAAGTTTTTTAAAGGTATGTGAAAGCATTGGTGAGCACAGAAGATATTTACATTAATGGTTCCAGTGATGAAGAATCTTCAACTATAATGACAGATCGGAGAGGGTGGGTTTGTTCTCTTTGCACAGAAGAAGGCTAAGAGATCTGATACACGTTTTCAAAATAATGGGGGATCAGATAGAGACAAACTGTTCCCACTTGTAAAAGATCAAGAGAGCTAGTGCAGACATGAAGGGCTGAATGGCCTTCTATACCACAGCACTTATGTGGTAATGTGACATGTAATGGGTGCAAAATTCAAATTTGTGTAGATTGGAGATCATGTATAGACATGCTTGGTGCTTTGCATGGGTCACATAATCGTGCCAGCCATTGCTCATGTGACAACCTGTTACTGCAAAGGACATTGATGGGGATCCCCAATGTCCAATGGAAACCTCTCCAGTGATGAGGTCAAGGTGTCATCAGCTCTATTTTTGAGTTTGTCTCATGCAGATCCATTGAGTACACTTACTTATTACGTAGCAAAATCATGCTTTTGGGTGTATATGGGGCCTAGCAGTGGTGATATTTAAAGTTCCAAGTTTCCAATTTGCAGGTAAGATAATTCATTATAGTGGTGGCTATTGAAAACTCTGCAAGTGCGCAGGAATGGTTTTAGAATTGATTTGGTGAGTTCCTGCATTTGACAGAAAGTGTTACTGTACTGTAGGGCAAAGAGCTTAGTCATCTGCCCATTCAAAGGCTGTTACAGAACATGGGGATACAGTTCCAATGTCATTTGGATGTCAATTCAATAGCATCTGGTGGAGGAGACAGCATTCTGAGGGTAATCTAACATGTTGATTCATCATGACAGGAAGCTTAGCCCTATACATCTCAGTGTACATCCTCATTAGCACTTGCCTCTATACTGCCATCTCAAAGGCCTCATTTGACCCTCCTGTAGCAGATTTCAGTCGTGACCGCGACCTTCAGTTAGAGTTGACACAAACACTGTCCTTTTCCTTAGCCTGGCTGTGGCCCAGTTGTGCCTGACTCACCAAATGCAAATCCCTACTCTTTACTTGTATCCAAGATACATGCAGTGCCACATCTGATAGTGGCTATATGAATCAGAACAAATGGTGATGTTTCTTTTCTGTGCTGTTTCTTTCTTCTGAGTCTTTATGGCTGAGCTGTTGCAGGTTTTGGATATCTAAGAGCAAGAAATCAGAAAAGGAAACTGAACAGCTAGATATAAATGAAACAGAGATTTGGATGTGGGAATGACATTATTGGAATATATATGAGGGTGAGGAAAAGTATCTCGAAATCACGTCTGTGTCTTAAGTGCAGGAATTGCTGATCGGTGAGTGCTAGGGCTGTAGTACCTTAAGCAACATAACAGATTGGTGGAGCATTGGGTGCAGAATTCTTACGAAGATCCTTGATTACCCTCATGAAGTCATTAAACCTCCTTTTGCATTGATGCGAGTTCCGTGGGGGCTAAACTCTGAGAATTAACCTTGCCAGTTACCTGCTCCCATTCCTCTTTGAGGGTGATTGTTGAGGAGCTGGTAGCCTCTGCAGAAATATGGGCTCTCTCTTCCCATTTATTTCCTCAACTGAGGCCTCCAGCACTACCTGTGAGTGTCTCCCTGAAATGCTGTTCAGTTTCCTTGTTCAGAATTGCAGTACTGGTATTTAATGTCAAAGACCAGTGCGAGGTCAGAGAAGGCTATCTATGGAGGTTGCTGCTGCTCTCTGCACTCTAGTTGAATTTGTCTTCCTAGGGGGGTCACATCCAATCCTAATTCCGGTCATAGCTCTTCAGCCACTGGTGGAGATGTTGAGGAGAACTTTTGGAACAACATTCCATGTGTTGGACAGCAGGAAGACCTTTTTGTAGTTACTGGTATTGGTCAAATACACTTTCTTGATGATTGTCACAAATGATAGCATTTCAGAGATTCCTTGGCATGCTATCTTCCTGTCAGATGAGGGTGATATGGGTTGTGTTTTCATGCCAAGAGTGTTTCTGTACTGTATTTTAGTGTTTGGGCATAGATTCTGTCTGCACCTGTGGCCGTTTTTGGTTTCAGCTATCAAATGGTCTTTTCAATCTTGTACCGGGCTGGGGTTGTACGGAGATAATGCTGTGGAATATGGCACCCCATCAAGGACTGAGTCTCATTTGAGGAGGTCCTCAAAAAGGTCCTCCAATAAGTGCTGTTCTTGTGCTGTACTGTTCTGCGTTTTTATTGGTGGAAAACTTATCCAAGAACACTTGTGCTTATGAATTAATGGCTCCTGCTTATTCTCTTCAAATCAGTCTTGTTGCTTCCTGGTATGGAAGCCCAAAGCCTCCTCAGAACTGCTGCTTACAATAGATTCATGGAAAGACCAGGCACTGTTGACATTCTGTGGTTCCTCTTCATTAACTGCCATTAAGTTGACTGTGAGGCGCTCTCTCTTTCTTTGCAGGGTCCTTGAGTCCATTGATGTTGAATTTCCTGCAATAGTTCTTCTGCTGCCACCGCCTATGTTGGGCCAAGCTGATGGAGATAGTAAACCAGATTAAGCGATGGTCAGTCCAACAGTCCCTAGGTGATATGAACATCTTTGGGATCCCCTTTTTGACTATCAACTAAGAGGAACTGCTGAACAGTTGAGGTACTTGTTATGGTAAATCAACTGTGTTCAGTGGTCCATATTATTGATATGCCTGGCACAAGACTTCCAAAACCACCTCTTAGTCCAAGCTTGATCACAGTAAATGGTTACCAGGAAGGCAGAGGAAATATTTCAAGGTCATCCTTAAAGCTTCCCTGAAAAAACACAATATTTTCTCCTACTCACAAAAATTTCTAGGCCAAGATTGCACAAACTGGAGAAGAATTAGCAATGGTGGCAAACATTTTAAGCATCTGTGACAGGCCAAATCAAAAACAATGCAAACAGCAGCAGGAAGAAGCAAAAACTCAGCATTCCTGTGACCCACCTCATCAAACATCACTTGCCTCAACTGCGACTGATTGTACAAACCCAGCATTGACTATTTAGTCACCTCAGGATCCACAACAAAAGAGTAGAAGAAGATTATCCTCCATCCTGAGGGACTGCCTCGAAAGAAGACTGGTATTCGACAACAACTGTTGTGTTTTTGTGCAGCTCCTGTTTGAGAAAGAGAATCTACCTTTAAGAGGAGAAGGCTGTCTTAACAATGTTGCTGTCTGCAGTGCTGCCTGGCATGCCACTGAATGCTCCAGCAGCCAGCATGACTCAGGCCAAAACTGCAATCAGGTAAATGAGGTGGCAACACCCAGGTTTATGTGCTGCCTAAATCCATAAAAAACAAAGACAGAAATTGAATTTCAAATCTCCTCTTCATTTGGCGAGACTTTGCAAAGCACCTCTGTCCTGCCCAAAAGTATGACCATGACTTTCTAGTCACTTTCGATTTCAATCTATCATCTTGCTCTTATACTAGCATTGCTGTCCTCAGTCTTTTGCAGTGCTCCAGTGAAACCCAGTGGCGGCTAAAGGAGCATTACCTCATTTTCTGCTTAGGTATTTTACTGCTTTCAGGATTCAGCACTTGAGCTCAACAGCTTCAGAGCATTAGAGAATTAACACTGTCTTCTATTTTCAGAGTATTAATACTGTCCTCTCTTTTGTCTATCTCAACTGCGTGCCATATCTTGTTTGCTTGGGTCTGCTGTCAACGGAGCTAACCTGTTTTTCGCTATGAACATCTATTCTGCACTTATATATTTTTCTAACAACCATTAGTACAGCCAAATATTTTGAGTCTGAGCATCTTGACCATCTGTTCCAGTTACTCCTCCTCCCTCTTTGCCAACAACAAAAAAAGCGATCATTTTCCAGCCCCTTCAGTTCCAAAGAAGAGACATATTGGACACAAAACATTAACTCTGTTTATCTTTCCACAAATGCTGCCAGACCTGCTGAGTTTCTCCAGAACTTCCTGTTTTTATCTCAGACCCCCCAGTATCCACAGTACCTGTGTTTAAATGAACTTCAACCCCATATCCAACAAAAAAGACATGGACCAATTAGAAAGAATTACTAACCAAGCAATACAATGCATTTGTTGTCATCTGTTATGGTATAAACAAGGAGTGAGTAAGGTGTTGCAGAGTTAAAGGATGGAGGACAATAGGACCATATCATTGCTGATATTTTTTGGAGTCCATTCAAAAA